CTCTGGGCCTGGGCGCTGTCCCTGTGCTCTTCAGCTCCACTTCTGGTTTTCTGGTTTTCTGGTGGTTTATTGGAGATAAGAGTCTCACAGACTTTTCTGCCTGGGCTGGCTTTGAACAGTGATCCCCAGATCTCAGCCTCTGAATAGCTAGCATGACAGGTGTGAGCCACCAATGCCTGGCTAACCTGGTCTGTCTTTAACTTGAGTCTCTTCCAACTGGAGGCCCTCAGTTTCCCTCCTGGCATAATCTTGACAGTAACAGCCTACCACATATGGGGTTCTGAGGTCTCACAAAGAGGCTAGGGGAGAGAATAACATTTTCTGTGTACTCTTACCTGAGTTTAGTGTGCGTTCAGATCATCTGACAAGGTCCTAAGTAAGAAAACTCTTGCAAAGATGGCAGGGAAAGACCCACTGGCAACCATCTCTAAGATGGGCGGCTTTCTCTGAGCTTTCCAAACATGTTCCATGTGTATCTTGTCCAAATTTGACACTCCTTTACACAACAATGGCATCTTTGACCCAGTTCTTCAGATTCTATTTTGAAATACGTTCACACACACGCAAAGCTGCTGGAGGTAGAGAGGGCAAACAAGTTTCCCCAAACAGTTTCATTAAGATTTGTTTACTGAATGGGAGCTGCCACAAAGTGAGCCACAGACTCAGCCCCTGTGTGTATTTATTTTCTTACTACAATCAATAGTGTTTCCTTTGTCTGCTTAATGTCACACAGATGGTAAACCCCAAGTCTCCTTCCGCTAAGAGAAGTTATCTTTTGAGAGTCATTTACCTTGAAAGAAAGGGGAAGTCAAAACTTTTTGCTCATAATTCAATTTGGCACTACTCATGGTTTTAGTAAACTTTCCACTGATCCCTCCTCTGCAACCACTGTAGTTTCAAAGGAGTTTGTTAGGAGAATCCACGGAGAGCATTCTAACCCATTTCTGAACCCATCCAAACCTATGCAGTCCTCTGGGACTGAGTACAAAAACAAATATTTGAAGGGAAATGAAATTTTGACCATCATACACAGTGCCAGAAATACATCACACCCACTTTTCTTCAGGGAGTTTTGCCTGACTTCATTAAATTAAATGCCACCTCCAATCAGTAGATGCAGTTGCATTTTTAGAAAACAGCCCAGAGCACATAGTAGGCTCAAATTTTCCACATCTTGTATGCTGTTAAAAGATAGTTATATAAAGGGAGCTATTTTTGACATGTCCTTCTTGGTCAGAGTAGTCACCTCTCCCTATCACGCTCCCTCATTCCCCCCATCTTCTCTTCCCAAACTACTGAACAAGTGGGTTCATTGTTCCATTTCACACATGTCCGTAAAGGATTGGGATCATATTCACCTTCCACTCTCCTCTCCATTCTCCTGCACACCCCCCGACACTCATAACCACACCCAATATGCTACATTCACGTCACATACGTGTTAATTGTCCAAAGGGGTTTCACAGTAGTGAATCATGCAGACCTATGCAGTACCTCAATCAAATTGACACAGCCTGCTCTCAATTTCCCCATTCCCACCACCCCCTGATACTCAACAGCTTTCAATAAGGTTCATTTTGCTTTCATCATTTGCAGATGCAATATGAATGCAGTATTGTTATTCACCCACTGATATTCTCTTCTCTATCAATCTCCGGTCATCTCAGCGGTCCCATAGTTGCCAATATCTTACATACACACACACACACACACACACACACACTCACACATACACGGGATCATGTGTGTTTACATATATATTTATCTTTTAGGACTAGCATCCCCACAGGACCAAGTTCTTCCAATTCTTGGTACTATGTTTCGAGTAACTTTGTATTTCGCCCATGACACTAAGGTTGAGTGACCTTGTATTCCGCCCATGACATTAAGGTCCTCCATGTCCCCAATCCTGTCACTCCACCTGGGTGGCACCTGATGAGCACTGTCCCAGGAGTTTTAGGTGGTTGATGCCTCAGTTTTTCTAGCCTTTAAGGTAGAAGCTCTGCTCTCAGTTCCCATCCTTTAGTTAATTTCAGTTGCATGAATAATATACATCAGTTGCAATGGGAGAAAACTCATCTAGGTAATTTGCCTTAAGTTTTGATGAAATGCAAGTATCTACCTGAATCAACCATTCTGTGTTTGTTTATTTCTGGATTTTGGCTTGTTTTATAATTTTTAGATTCTTAATTTTGCTTCTGGTAAAAGATTTGCATTCTAGTTGGCATTTGAGTTCTAGTTTGCCTTCACCCTCTCCATCAGACAAAAAAACAAAAAACAAAAAACACAGACATTATTCCAGCAAAGGAAGACTTTACTGTCATGGAACAAAACATTTTTATTAAATGTTAAATGGGCATAGGGTTATTATTTCTTCTTAGGAACAAAACCATATTCCAACAAAAACAGTCTAATACATTTTTTTCTGATTATCAAATATTTATTTCCAAGTGGTAGTATCAAGCCTGCAAGAACAAAGCAATACACTTGATTCTGAAAACATTGGACTTTCTTGGAGAAGAAAAAATAATTTTTTCCCTCTGAGCAAGGAATCTGTTATTCTGTGTAGCTTTCAGAGGGGAGGTCACACGTTTTCTTATTGATTTTACTTCCTATTTGGTAGCAAAATAATGTGAGAAGCAGCAGTGAACACTCCTGGCGACAAGCCCAGATGCTAAAAAATACGTGTCAGGACACTTACTGAATTCCATCCTTTTCCAGAAGTTCTATGACAGATGTACTGTCTTTGCTCTTGTTCAGAGACAGCCATGCAGGCCCACCTCAGGAGAGATGTTTCTGGAAGCCCATTACTTATCAACACGGGCCAGTTGGATTCCAGATGTGTGCTTGGAATCCCCTCGCAGCCCCAGTACACCAAGAGGTGGCTCCAGGAAGCCACCATCAAAGCATATGGTGGCCTCAGGTGGAGGCCAGGCTTCTATTTGCCCTGGTTTATTTCTTTTTCTTTTTAACAGAGTCATTTTATTCTTGTCAGGGTTGATGGAGCAGAGAAGGGATGTTGAATGAAGGTGGGATGGTTTGCTTGACCTGAAATGACTTCAAATGTTCTTGTTCCTCAGGCAACATCAGGAACACAGAGAAGCTGAGCTACGACAAGCAGCGGCAGTACGAGATTCTGGTGACCGCCTACGACTGTGGACAGAAGCCCGCTGCTCAGGACACCCTGGTGCAGGTGGACGTGAAGCCAGTCTGCAAGCCTGGCTGGCAAGGTGGGCCTGGGCTTACCAGTCTTGTTATATGAAGGCAGCCTGGCCTGGCCTACAGAGTGTGCTGGATACGGTCACAAACCATCACAACTCTTAGTAGAGGGTTTCTGGAATGTACTTGTTTTGCCACAAGAAATAGACGTATTTATCCAAGAAATGGAGATGCTTTCCCCATTTTACAGTTGGGGTTGTCAGAAGCAACATTACTAATGTCAGTACCCACTGGCTTGGCATGGGGACAGCTTCGAAACAGTAGTACTAACCCCACAGTGCTCAGGAAAAACGGCCTGAGCATCTGTTGGCTTTACCCAAGGGCACAGAGCACATTCCAAGTTTTCATCCCTTGCTGAACACCTGAGCAAAGATGGTCCCGGTCCTTGTGCTCATACAGACAGGTGGGAGATTCAGAACCCAGCCTTTGGACAAACAGGATTTTGAAAGGTTGACTCTGGGAAGGAAGAAGCCATGATTCCCAAAGGACATGGAATTTTGTATTGCTTTAGATGAGAAAGCCAATGCTCACGATGATGGGGTCTAACCTAAGGGGAGCAAAGAAGGCTGGGCCAGTGTGTAGGTAGATCTTCTCCTTGAGAGAGAGTCTGCTAGTCCTGACATCCTCACCTCCTGTGAACTCGTGGGGTGCAAAGGCTCTCTCCACTGGGACAGTTTTCAAGCTTCAGAGAGATTTGTGTATGTGCATCATGGACAACCAGATATAGGCCATTTCTCAGCCCAGTCTTCTAATTGCTGAGGCTCCAGAGTGTGGAGGGAGTTTTCTATCCGGCATTGTCTGGCCTGGTGTTTTCCAAGTCTGTCTGTCTATTTCCAGAGCATTTGGGCACCAACTTACATGACAATGTAGTCTGCCTACCCAAACTTCCCATTGGCCTCTGCTGAGTAGAGACAGGAAGTGTCTCTACGAGTGTTCCATACAACTCTCCTAAAGCTAGCTATGACTTTACATCTGTGTATAGATGGGAATCTGAGAGGCTCTGTGGGAACCCACATAGAGGATGTGGATTGCATGGCCTGTGACCTAATCTGGGCTGTTGGCAGTCACAGAGGACTTCTTGGAAGAAGAACTAGAAGAGCTGAGGTTAGGCAGTGGTGATTGCATACCTTAGCAGGACAGCAGCAGGTGAGGTGGCAGGTTGTCAGGGTAACTGGTCCAGGTGAGGTGGCAGGTTGTCAGGGTAACTGGTCCAGGTGAGGTGGCAGGTTGTCAGGGTA